AGACTGTTTAGAAAGTAATAATGATACCACAGATAAGACACAGTCAGTGGTATCACTGTGTAAAGCTGGACCTGGGAAAGCTCAGTCTGATGAAAGCAGTAGGAGGCTGAAGTGATGGCTCAGTGGTAAAGAGGTCATGCTGCCTCTGCAGGGGCCCTGAGTTGGGTTCCCAGCACTCACATAGGGAAGCTCACAAATGCTTGTAAAGCAGGCTCTAAGTGGTCCAATGTCCTCTTCTGCTCACTGAGAGCACTACGTTCACAAACCCACACATAATGACATAAAAATACATTAAAAATATATTGTTTAAAAGTATAATTGGGCTAGTGATATAGTACAGTTGATAGAGTGCTCATCCAGCATGCTAGAAGCCCTGGGTTGATCTCCAACATTACAAAAATCAGATATGGTGATGTTCACCTAAAAGTCTAGTACCAGAGAAAGAAGGGAGTTGGAAGCAGGAGAATCACAGGTTCAAAACTATCCTAAGCTATACTTGGCACTCTGTTCAAGGTCAACATGACACCGTGTCTCCAAAACAAAAGCAACACACACAGATACACACACACACACACACTAATATTACAAGAAATAAAAATAAGTGAGGAGGAATTTCAAGTGAAGAACCTACAGAATAAATTGCTCAGGACAAGAGTATTAAAGAAGCACTCAAGGTGTTAAGACTCTAAAACGCATAACAAAAAACATCAGCATTTCACAAATGGTACCCAAGACAGGGAAAAGTAAAACTACTCATATATGATATCAAGTTACCTTTCCAATTAAAGTTTTATACTTCTCCAGAAAGTTTTAGCAATTTACATTTTCCTACAAATGCTGTCCTTAATTTAAACCAATGCAAGTGAACATTTATTAACATGAATATTTTGTAGCATTTGTTAATTATTATGTCTCTTCTAAAAGATGGCCATTTAAAACCTGGAGCTATAAAATATCTTTTGTTTTTCTGCTTTTACTTAGCTATTGTTTACATCTTAAAATTCTAATGTGATTTTCATCACTTTAATTATGCAAGTGCATCTTATTTGTCCTCTTGCCATATATTTACTTCTTTATTTTATGTTTTTCTGTTCTAATATCTTTAAGGAACATCACTCAGGCAATATTTTTTGTATACTGCCATCCAATTATCTTGTTTTATTGTATTTAGTTTAAAAATGTGTTGTTACTATTATTATTATTAGCATTATTGAGAACCTGTACAAGCCTAATGTGTTATCTGTGTGTTTGTGTGTGTGTATGTATGAGTGAGAAAGACAGAGACAGAGATACAGAGACAGAGAGAGAAAGGGAGGGAGAGAGAGAGAGAGAGAGAGAGAGAGAGAGAGAGAGAGAACCAGCTTTGTGTGAACACTTGAATAATGCAGCACATTGAGTAGGTTACAATCCAACTCTCTAGAGTCAGCCCTTTGCTTCCAACATTACATAGGTTCTGTGGATAGAGTTCACATCATCAAGCTTCCGGCAAGTGCATTTACCCACTGAGCCATCTCACTGGCCCAGTCTTTGTTCTTTTCTTTTTAAACTACAACCTTTAAACTTCCCTGTTGAATGGGATACATGTCTTTATGAATATTAAAATGCATATTTTCTCTGTGGAAATTGATGATTTTTCTATTTATTGCTATTCTGATTTTATTTGCAATGTTTCACATGGGCCTTTATTTTATATTTGTTCTCCATTTGCTTGACTCTGGGTTAGATTGGCTTTGTCTATAATTATGCTTACAATCACACAACATGTGATGTGTCCTTATAATTAATGTCTAGCTGGTTAAATCACTTTATGGTGGTCCTGTTAGCTGAGACACTGGGATGTACACTCCAAAGTGAGACTGAGAATTATCTATATGGTCCAGCTAATCCCTAATGTATGTATCCTGTGAACCCAACTTTGTTTCACAGTACTAAGAATTGAAGCACCTTAATATGTGACTCTATTGACATTCATCACGAAATGTACAAAAACTGTCTTGACTTTTAGATACATAGGCTAGAGACCCTATTGACTTCCTTACTGTAACACTATCAATTTTACATGAGTGACAGATGCTAATATGTAGCTCAGTGGTAAAGAAGTAGTGTATGGCTTTGATCCTCAATACTCCAGAAACCGATAAAATTTAAAAAATTAAGAGTAACAGTGAGAATATTAAATTTATCTTTGCATTTGGGATTCTTACCTGCTCTATTTTTCTCTCTAGATATTTTAACCAAATGTTGGCTGAGTTTGACTAATGATTTTGGACTGCTAATAAATTGCCATGAAAAATTGGAAATTTTTGATTTTTACAGGCTGGAATCAAACTAAGGACCTTATTTATATCAAATAAGCATTCTACTATGGAGCTACACCCTCAACTAGAAATTTATTCTATTAATTTCTTTAACATTTTATTTCTTTTTCTTCCATGAAAAAGTGACTTTCTTCTAAACATTACATATTGTGAAGGAGAATATATGTAGATATATAATATAATTTTTATAAAAAACATTAACATGTAATTTTATGGTTAATATCTTATTATGTAATTCTTTTTGATTATACCTGCATAATTTAATAATAGCATATTGGAACTTATTAGTTTAAATCACTAGTTGAAATGAATTTTTAACTTTTCAAAATGTATTCTAAGTTAGCACCTCTAAATAATATAGTAATTTTTACAGTGTTAAATGATTTAGGCAGTGGAAATAATTTTTAAATTCAATGAGTTGAGCAGCCCATGATCTACCATGTTGGATCAAGTCATCAGAAAGCATCTAGGGTGGCATACCCTTCCTCCACAAAGTAAGGATGAGAGTTGACATGGATCAAATTGACAAACTCTTTCTAATAGTGTCCAGGTAGTAATCTTTCCCAGAGTAATACTAGATTTCAGCAAAGGAGACTATTTTCATAACCTGTGTGTAATTCAGAAAGGTCTATGGCCACATAAAAACCTACAAACTGGCCATAAAAACTACATTATAGTCTCAGAAATCATCAAGGCCTGTTCAAGTTCTGGCAAATGTTTTATGCTGTGTATGGGTTATTAGTGACCTTCCTGAACTTGCTAGAAAAATCCTTATTTCATGTACACTGATGTTAAGTTACAATAGGGGCCAGATCTTGAAAGTAGATGATGGTAGCCATCTAATGTGTAAGGCTGGTTGCCTTTGTTGACTCTTAAATGAGCTGTTTATCTTGAAAGAAAGGAATGAGAAAGCTATGAGTGTACAACTCGAGGTATGGGGTAGTCATGAAGTGTAGCAACCTCAGTGGCCTTGAGAACCTTTAAGCACTACCTAGGTTCATCATTTTTGCATGTCTATATTTCAAGGTCTATTTTTCAGTGATGCTTAATTTCAGTATGCAAAACAGACATGATGGAATCACAGAAAGATGTTAAACAACTTTTATTCTTTGTTTTTTTTTAAATCTTATTCAGAGGCAATTTGCAGACCTATCAGCGACTTCATGTTTCATATATGAGAAAGTGGAAACCCCAGTTTCTGCATTAAATCCCATCTAGAGCTAACTTTACCACTTGTAATGGTATTCTCTGTACTGTTTCTGTACTTTCAAAACTTCCGTTCTATTAGAAAGTCTTATTTAGTTGCTAATTTTATACCTTGTTCGTTTTAATTTGTCTATTTTTTGTTTTCTATCGGATAAGAGTGGATTAAAGCCGATTCAGTTTGCTAAGTACAGGATAGTGAGACAGAAGAGAGATCAGCATCCAAAGGAATCTCCCAGGCAGTGCTGATTTGGATGATGCCATAAATGCCTGTGGAGTGACTTAGTAAATAGGGTGAAGGATGGAGTGTTGGGCATCTATCTCTATCTCTGAATGACAGCTACTGGGAGAGGGAAGGGTGTCTAATCTAATCACTATAAAAACATGAGCGCTTTAATTTGGTTGGGTCATTCAAAGAAAGGGTTTGCTTTGAAGTACGATTACTTGATACTTCCTCTTCACAAATTTGATAGTGATGATAACTATTCTTGTAAAATGTTTCTGAAGACAATGAAAATTTAATGTATAAACTGCAGATGTGGTTTTACAATATTACATTTGTTCTTACAGTTTCATAGATTTCCTTCTTACGAATTCCCAATTAAAATGTACTAAAGTGGAGAAGCACTGTTCTGAGCTGGAGCAAATTATAGCGAATATAATTCTGAAAATAAGAGACTTTGTGAGGTTAATTTGGCATGGAATCTCACCAGAGGTTAGCCTGCTATGCCACGTTCTCAAAGTGAAGTCATTTCCTTAGATACCAAGAACTTTGTTGATAGTTGCATTAAAATTAATTAAAATTAATTTTGCATTAAAATTCTTTAAAAGTCTCAAGGAAAACCATAAATCCCATGCTTAATACCCATATGATACGCAGGATGTATGTGCTGTTAACTATGTGATTGTCTATATGAGCGCTTTTGTCATTTCCACATCTGCAGGCATATAATATAAAGGAAATGTGTCCCAATTCTGTCCTAAATGCTGTTTGATCTAATGTGAAAAGGCATTGTTTTGAATTCATTGAATTAAGCAATATCTATATAGAAAGACCACTCAGGGGTTACCTTTGGTTTACTTTACATCTTTAGCACATTTACTATTAAAAATATTTCTAGAATTCAGTGTCTGCTCGGCTTTGGTTATCTAAGCTGTAATAAGCAGCCTTGGGACCCCTGAAGGCACACCCCACACACTTATGCTGTGTGACCTCAGGTCACAAGTAATGGCTGCAAGCTAATTGATGGAGAAAGGCTTGTCTGGCAGGGCCCCTTTGCGTCCTGCCTGTACATTCCGAAGTTCTGTGAAAAGAAGCACTAAGCGCTCAGCCACGCAATGCAGGAAAACAGAGGAAGTTTTTGCATTCTGATTACAGCCCGAGTTCCCTGTAGTGAGACTGCTTTTCTCCACCCACTTCTCACCAAGAACTCCTGAACTTGAGGGTGGACGACTTAAAGCTAGCTCCCACAGACTCACCTGAAAAGTGTTCTGCTGCACGCGTTCACTGAACCGAAAGGCCAAATCACCTATGTGAGGCAGTGAGAACCATATGGAGATTATATTAGAACTTCAACAAAGTGCACAGCTGCAGCCGGCAGAAGCCAGCTCTCGACTCGGGCTGACAGGCAAATGAACCAGATCGTGGACGGGGCCTCTGGGTGACAGCTCCGGCCTTTTGGTCATTGGACAACTATAGTCAGAACTGAAATGGAACAGGGGCAGAAAAAAAATTAAAAACCACACTTTTGTTCCACGCAACTGTTGCTTTCACATGGTGAGTGCAGATTTAAGATGTTACTAAAATATTCTTTCTGGGTTGTAATAAAAGTTAAGAAATGTGCTCTGCTTTTGGGGGGGCTGATGGGGTAGAGAAACAAGTCATCAAGAATACTTAGAAATTCCGAAGCTCTGTGGCTTTGTCTCTGCTTGATTTCACGTGATATTTGCAATCCGAGAAGACATGGTACTTGTAGCCTCCTGTCTGTTCTTTCTCTTCCAGATTTTTTTTTGTTTAAGTCCTGCTTTTCTGCAACCAGAGTCAATATTGGTTTAGGCAAATCATAATGTGCCGGGATGAGAAAGAAAGGAGAGTCAGGATATGTGTAAACATTGCATTTAGCCCAATTTCTGTGTCACTGGGCTCTGGCTTCATGATTTGGTGTCTTATCTCAGGAATACGCAGCCCAGTCCTATAGAAAGGGCTTTGTGTGAAAGTTCCTGGCCAGGAGAAGGGTCAGGGCCTGTGTTTAGCAGACTGCCAGCCAGGGAGGATTGCTGTTGTGCCCTCTTATTTTTTAATGTAAAACAGGAAAGAAAGTACATCTTTACACATTGAAAAGTAAGTGTGCTTTCATTTCCCAAGTCCCTTCCCAGCAGTGTATGTGTATTATTCCTGAGAAGGATTCTTTAAAAGTCCTTGAGCAGCAGCGTGCAAACTTCTTTTGTTCCTGCTGGTCCTGTTTGCTCACATTGTGTGCTAGCAACTTTGCACATTTCTTTTTGAAGAATCATGTTGCAATAATGCAGAGCAGTTTTTGTTTCAGTGCAAAGACCTTAGAAGTAAGTAAAGTCATTCTTTCCTAAATTTAAAACAACCAACCAAGCACAATGAAAAAGCCTTACAGTATAAGTTGAAAATAATTCCTTGTTTAAACATAGCTAAATCCTATTTTAAATATGTTTTGTTGTTGTTGTTCAAAGAAAATCTTAGCTTGCTAGCATGCCTAGAAATGTGAGCAGAGACCTATTTTTCTTATCCCAACCTTTCATGTTCAGAATTACACTTGCAGCAAGTGCTAAAATGAACTTTCTGTTGTTCACTTCATTAGAAAAATCAGGTCTTACTACCATTATATTTGCAATTGATATTTTCAAATCATATGAAGTGTCTCTGTCATCCATTTGTTGATTTGGTGAAGTTCTTAGGTCTGTGATTTACAATCATTTAAACATTTTCCAAAGCAGAGAGATAATTCAGTTTTGTTAGCTTGTTTTAAGCACAGAATTTATGTGGGGTTCATATCTGGGATCTTCTGTTTGCTAAAGTAAACCAAATAATAAACGAAAAGAAAAACAGTCCATCTGAAGCTGCAGACCTGTATTGAGAGGGAAGGGAGGGAAGGGAACGTTTAAGGGTATCAGGATGTGATTTCACTTACAAGGTAATTTTGAAGCATTACTTAACTGTCTTTGCAAACTTTATGGGAGCCTGTTAACCCCTGGCAGCACTGGGCCTTAGTCTTGCACTTTGTACAGAGATTATGCACAAGAAAGACAAGTTCGTCCTGTCATGTGACCTGAGCTGCCTTATCAAAGCAAAATGTGACAGGCGCATTCTTTCCAGAGAGAAATAAGTTCATTATGTCCTTGCCACCTGTTACATTCACTCTTTATCCTTGTGGTCACAGTTCCTGTTTGTTCCTGCTGCCAGAAAGGGATTTTCTTTTTAAGAGAGAAAAACTAATTTTTTTTCATTTACATGTTTTGAAAAAAACTGTGTTCTTTCCCCTGAAAGCACCCGGAGTATATTTCATAAGGCCTTTTGTTAAGTCGATGTGAATAGCAAGAAAATGTGTGCATTGTTTCAGAAGCCTTGGATGTCTCATAATAAATAAAGCAAAGGTGTAGTTGAAGATTTTATGAAAAAGATGACCTTTTGAAGATTATGATTGAAAAAAGTATTCCTTATTATTTCCTCCAAACCAATTAAAAAATTAGAAACTCAAAAGCACCTTCATTATTATTATTTTTTTAAACCACAGCTCAGAAAATCAGCATGGAACAGGGAGGGGCTGCAAAAGAATGAGGTTTCCTATGGAAGTGGGTGAATTGCAATGAACAAAAGATGGAAAGGGCTACACCGCTTTTAAACATTTAATCTTAAATTCTTACTTTTTATCACTGATGGTCCTATTTACTTAATGGTGGACTGTAGAGAACTTTTTAAAATTAAAATCAACTATAGTATCATTTTAATTCTATGTTTTTAAGAAGGTACATATCTTTCTTTAAAAAAAAATGCTAATCTTTCCTTGAGCTCAGTTTTTTTCTTCAGTTACAAGGAAACAGTTGTTATATGTTATAGTCATATTTCATATATAAAGAGCATATGTGTGTTCCCTACAAACATATATTCATGTTTCACGCACATGCTTTTAACATCTTAAAGCAATATCCTCCCCTCTCTAAATGCCATAATTAATTTTATGCTTGGGCAGATTAGAGTCTGTATAAGAATACAACAAATGAATATAGAAAATGACAAAACATGTCTTTTGACACTGCTATATAAAGCAAGGGGAAATGGGGCTTTACCAAGGGAAAGAGTGATACAAGGAACTTGTAGACTAGCTCATGAATCACTTGCCAGGCACATTTTTTCACTTGTTGGTGATTAACTATCCTTCTGTACAGCAAAACAGAGTGTGCATTTTTCATGTGAACTTTGAACTTTTGAGTTCATGTAGAGGGTTTCTGAACACGTGCTGATGTTACCCACCTCTGTGATCTGCTTACATCTCATGCTCATTACATCTCAGGTTCCTTCTTGAGCCCTGTAGCAGTAGATGTCTATAGCAGTGATCCTGCATTTGCACTGCTCAGGATGGGACCACATCGCTGCATTTGAATGTCAGTTGACCTGTGGAATTTAATTGGAAGGAGATTTATCCCATCTACATTATGGGTTCTCAAAGGTCTTTCCCAGAGATCAGTAGTATTTATTACTTTTCTTTATCTGAAAGATGAGCAGGAATACTCTTCACCTTCATAGCTACTTCAGCTGTGAGATTCTTGCCTTTTGTAAGAAATAGAAAACTTGAAGATTTTCTTTTCTCTACTGTTAGCATTCAACTCCTTGTATAACTCTCTAGAAGTATACGTTAAGGTTTCATGATGCAGCATGTATAATTCTGAAATTCCCTTTCATCTTCTTTTATATGTGTGTGTGTGTGTGTGCTATGTTTTTGGTAGATTACTAAGAGATACCTTCCAATTTGCTGATTCTTTTTATAACTACGTGTGCTATATAAAATATATAGAATGTGTTTTACCTAATTTTGTTTGGGGAGAATTCAAATAAATTCTTTTACTAAGAGAAATGTTTATTTCATTAATTCTACCTTTATACTTGTTACATATTATACTGTTTCTTTAAGGATCTTATTATGCTTATTCTGAAGTCATTATGAAGTAGCTTTGCTATTTCACAACCTTTAAAGTAACTTAAGAGACTGCATGTATGTGCATGCAGGCTAGAGGACAATGCTGAGTGTCTCTCTGTGTTATTCCCTACCACATATTCTGAGAGAGTCTCTTAATACACTTAGAGATTTCTAACCAGCAAGAGTCTTGAGCAGTCAATCGCCCCCAGGATACTTCACCAATGCTAGGACTATAGTCACAAGCCACTGTACTCAATTTTATATTTGAGTACTGTGAATACAAACTGACATCATCAAGCTTTTGCACAAAGCATTTTACTATGGAGCCCCTTCTGCAGCCTCTAACCTTTTAACATTATTCTCTTATATGTTGGGATTTGGGTTTGTTGGCTCAAGTTGGACGAAATTGTTAAAATTCTTACTGTTGGTAGACCTAGTATATAGCCCTAAGGCATTATGGCTAGCTTTCTATGTTCTATTCCAGCCCACAATTTTGGGTAATGACCATATCCTAGATGTAGTTAATGAGCACTTTCACACAAATTCTGGCTACAAGATATGGCTCATTCTCAATGCTCCTTAAGAAATTTCTGGGTCTGGAAAGAGAAGACTCATCAGTTAAGAACACTTGCTTCTCTTCCAGAGGACAATTCAGCTACTAGCACACATATGTAGAAACTAAAACGTACATAAAATTCCAGCTTAAGAGCATCCAATGCCCTCTTCTGGCCTCTGTGAACAATTGCACTCATGTTCACATACTCCTACATAGATAGACACAAATACATACACATAATTAAAAAACAAATAAGGTAGTCCAGTGTATGCAATGGCTAAAGATTTAGGGGTGGTTGCAGTCACTCAAATTCTATAATAACATCCTCTGGTTTCAATCAGAAATCTGGCACTGGGTATTGGTAGGACATTATGAAAGAAATATGGCAACCCTATGCAGTCTAGTTTTCTTGAGCTGTTTCTTTCATTTCAGGCATCAGTTGGTGAACTGTGCATCATTTGTAGTTTATATTTTGGTCTGTGTTTGAATATTCCTTTAACTTTATGTTATCTCTGTTATTGTGTTATGCTAATAGCAAAGGCAAGGGGTCCTTATCATGCCATCTTGACAAGATTTTCATCATCTATGAGCTTTTCAATCAGAGCATGAATTTAAAGTCTTCCCTGGTCATTAATGATGTCACTTTAGGCGAAGCCTTCTATGTATTTAAATGTTTCTATTTGTTTCTCATATAAAGTATCAATGGGGCTGCTTATCTCATAGGGCTGTTGTAAGCATGGACCTAGAAAGTTCTGAATCCTGTGCTTGGACATGCTATACATGTATGTGTGGATAGGGAAAACAACAAAAGCAGAAACAAAACCCAGGGCTACCTACCAGTAATGAAGGCCAGCAGGTGGAACTGAAAACCAGTTTGACTATTGTATTCTGTATGAGTACAC